CAGATAGCGCACATCTGTGCCCACAATGGCGTCGATATCTTCGAGAAGTGTGTCATCAGTGGCCGCATCCGTCACCTCTTCCGACGGCTGTTCACTCGTGGGCTCTGAGATGTGTTGCCACTGATTGATGTCATCAGTGGTACCATTGATCCCGAATGAGTCCATCGATGTGTCCATCGGTTGTCAATCAATTGAAACGCATTTCCTTTACATTGGATTGAAAAGTGAATTCTTTTGACTCAACCGTCGGATGAATGGGAAGTGAAATGACATTCAATTGCATCCAAACTATTGATCCATTCATTGAAAGCACGGAAGAGTGCGTCTCTAATCTCAACGTATGACTCGATTTGCCTTTAATTCTAATTACTATTCAATTCATGTATCCTTTGCTTCACTTTTACTCCATTCAGTCAATGGTTAGGCGTTTAGTCGCACATCAGATCAAGTGATCCCTTATTTAATGAATTTATAATAAACGCAAAGAATAGACAAAACAATGAATTGATTCGTCAATTATTCAGTCTTTCATCCATTGTTTGCCATTCAATGTCATGAAGTCTTTCATTCAATAATTGGAACAAATTCTTGAGATTCTCATCATTCGAGTGATGAATACATGACATATAAAAAGTCATCCTTTTATTCATGACTTCATATTTGGGTCCATTTGAAGCCTCTATTTAAAGCAATTCATATAAATTCCTGTTTTGTATTGATTTTCAAAGACATAAACTCTATATTCAAAGTTAATTGAGTTTTAGTCATAACTCGAGTCAATAAATAAGAGGAATATATGTGAAAATCTAATAAAACCACTCATTGCCTAACAATTTGATAACACATTACACAACAATTTATTATTATATGTATTATATTTGCTTATTCTGTAATAAAAGTAATTGAAATTTTTATTTAAAGAAATATATCGAAAATAACTTATACTTTATAACTGAATATTATGAACAGATCGTATATCATATAAACTTTATTTTTATTTCTAATTTTAAAAATCTCATTTAATTTGGATTTTCTAGGAAACAGCTAATAGGGTATTATAAAAAACAACTTCTATTTTTAATAAACATTTTTACGGTAAAAGTAATCAATATAAGTTCCTATTAATATATATACCGTATATTTACTGTAAGATTAAGATTCACTGCAAATAAACTCAAGGCTTTTCACTTCTATTACAAAATTTGATTTATTATATAATAAAACAATGCATTAATTTTAATATAAGTTATAAATGTCTTTAATATTACGGATTTGAAGAAAGGCTTAATAAAGACATTACATTACAAACACTAAACAGTCATTCATTCAATTTTGTTATAGAATATAATTTAATAGAATATTTTGTAAAAATAAAATTACAATTAAATTGCATTATACTGTATTTAATATAATGATATATATTTATAAATGTAATTCACATAATTTGACACACAAAAATATTAAATTTTTATATCAAAAAATCACATTTGATAACAAATAAATGGTTGTTACTTTAATTGAATTATTTTTATGACTATTTAATTGAATCTCAAATCCAATTGAAACTCAATCGGTGATGGCATCCATAATGAGGGAATGGTTATCATTTACAATAATAAATATAATTAACTCTATATTCGTCTTAATTTAATGTTAAATCCAGAGATGAAATATTGTGTCATTTCCTGTTATACATAAAATGCAAATTATACTCAATTTACAGAAGATTAGATATAAAGTTAAAATACATTGTTAGTATGAAATTTAAATAATTTAACACACTATAACTTACATAAATTTAATCATTGCAAATTTTGAAAAAATGTAAATCAACTCAAAACAAATAATACTTAGGTTTCATTTCTAGTTGTATTACGATTCCTTAATTGTAAATCTAATCTTGAGATGAGTGCGGCGCTGATGAGACTGCTGTTTGTTTTTCACGCTCTACTTCTCTAAATTAGCCATTGATTCAAATGTAAACCCCATTTATGTATAATTTTCTACAATCAAAAGATTTCCTAAAAACTTACAATTGTTTTCGTTGTTTAGTAGACATGTTAAGAAAGCCCCCGTTGTTAGAGTCGCTCAGAAACAAAATGATTACAAAAATGATACACACTTTTGAAATGAGAAACAAGAAAATGCAAAATTCATGAGTCCATCGAATATTATGATAACAAAAGTGAAAACTTACAGCAAATCCACATCAAGAAGAACACTTCCAATACAATGTAACCCTTGAGGTCTACTATAGCGCCGGCCGCGAGTACAATACAGGCCAAGCCAAGGTTTTGTACGGATTGCATAACACCATAAGCGGTTCCTAACTGATGCTCAGATATGATAAAAGCAACCATTGGCCACAGAGCACAGGCTAGTATTGAATAGCCGATTCCCATTAAAACCATTGCGAACCAGGGATTTATAAAAGTGAATGCGAGTATTGAATGACTCAATAATGTAATAATGGCTGAAATGAAAACCCAGGCTATATTACGACCCGTGAGGTCGACCAGAATTCCTAAAAATGGCGA